AATAGTGGAGAAGGGTATAAGAGAAGAGAAAAAGAAAGAAAAGATAGCCAGCAACAACTCCATCTCAGACTTCCCAAGTTACAATACAAAAACACTTCTCCTCGAAATCTTAGAAAGACTAGAATCCCTCGAAAATACAGGAAAGGGGAGCACAACCTCTAACCGTTCCTGAAAGTTGTTACTACAGGCATTTCAACACAAGAGAGTGAGCAAGTGGGTATGCTTACCAATTATGATTCTAGAAAAGATAACCCACATTACTGGTCTCTACAGGCAGGAAAAATCAAAAGAGGTCTTAATAGTGACCTAAAGGTAGCATGCTACAATATTAATGGGCTTAAAAATAATAAACAAAAGTTAGCACTATTGACAGAGTGGTTAGAAGAAGAAAGTATAGCAATATGTGGTTTGGTGGAAACTAATATTAGATCAAGAGAGGGAAAATTTATATTAGAAAAAGGTAGCAATTATATGAGTATTTGGGTGGATACAGATCTGAGTAAGAAGAAAGGTTCAGGAATTGGAATATTAATCAGAAAAGACTAGGAAAAGTTCTTAGGTGATTTAAATCGAATCAATGAGTATATGCTCGAGGTCAACCTCTTCCTACAGCAACTTATAATTAAGGTTATTGTAATTTATCTACCTCCGAATGATGCAGAGTTGAAAAAAAAAATCTAAAAAAAGGTAATAGAGAGATATATATAAAGATCACTATCAACCCAACTAGTGGTTATGGGCGACTTCAATAGCATTATCGATCCAGACCTTGACAAGTCAGAAAAAGTAATGACACTAGGCAAAAGGCAACAATACAAGCTTTTGTGGTTGCACAAGTGGTTGTTAAATCAAAACTTCCAGGACTCATATAGAGTGATAAATCCAACAACAATGAAATTCTCATGGTCAAATGGAGCAACGTCAATGAGAATTGACCAGATCTGGATATCTGAAAATTTGGCATCCAATGTTATATCAGCTGATATAGAAGATATTAATCATTATACTAAAAGCGATCACAATATTGTGCTAATAGAGCTCAGAATAGAACAATTGATCACATCACAAAGCATAGCCTCAACAAAGGTTAGAGCCCAGTTTAGGACAATTTTTTTATATGATAAAGTAACGAAAGATGACTGGAAAGAATATAGAGAGAAACTTTATCTCTAGCTTAGAGAGAAGATTGATCCACAACTACTCTCTAACATACCAGAGTGGGAGAAGGTTGATTTAAATTCAGCTTGGAAGATAATATCAAGCAGTATTCTAGAGATGGCAAACCAGTCATTACCAAAGAAAAAGATTTACAATACACTGGCTAATAAGAAAAAAAAGGTGATTAAGTCACAGATACATAAAACAGTAGTCAAAATTAGCCATCTAATTAATAGAGCTAAGAAGAACATAGAGGTTAAAATAGTTCGCAAAGAAAGAAATACTATAAATAGAATATTAAACTGGGTTAATAAGAAATACCATATGGAAATTTGTAAAGTGGAGAAAACATGGTCCATCGATTGGGTTAAAGACACCAAAAGGTGGTGGTGCATTTTGTATAACAAATACTCAGCCGAGCTAGAGAAGGACAAACAAAAACAAATTAAGAAGAGTGTATAGGAAAGATGTGCAATGATCCAGAACAGCCAGGGAAGAATGCTCTGCAGTCTTCTCAATAAACTATTTAGAAAAATAACAATAGACCATCTGCTATGCCAAGAGAACACAAAAACTAAGCTAATTATGGACCCGGCTAAGGTTTTAGCTATGACTAGAAAACACTTCCAAGGTCAATTTAGAGAAAGGAAAGTGAATATCCAAAATATACCAGATAATTGAAAAGAAATCTATAACCTGATAGAGAGAATACAAGAAGACTGGTATGGAGAACTAATGCAGGCAATAGCAAATGAAGAATAGGAAGCCATGCTAAAAGAGTTAAGAATTAATACAGCGCCAGACATCTTGGGGATCAGATATGTTCTGATTAAGACAGCAGGCAACGAAGTTCAAAAGGTTTTCAAAAACCTGGCTGAGTGCTGTATTAAAAAAGATGAAATTCCAACTAAGCGAAAGTTAGCACAAATATACCCAATCCTTAAAGATACAAATTGGAACTATTGCTTGAGCAAGGTTCAGCCAATTGCCTTGCTCAAGACACTTCAAAAATGCATCACAAAAATTTTTACCAGAAGGCTTTCCAAGGTTCTAATCAATAAAGAAATCCTTATAGGTCCAAACTACGCTGGTCTTCCAGGTGGATCAACAGAAACTCCTATACACATAGTCAACTCAATTTTGAAAGATGCAAAGGAAAATCAAAAAGAAGCCTAGTTGTTGATGCAAGATCTGAGAAAGGTGTTTGACTCGGTGTCATTACAGATGCTCAATTTGGCACTCCAGCGTATCAAAGTACCAGTGGAAGGAAGGAAGTTTATTTCCAATTTATTCTACAAAAGACACGCAATAATTATTACGGCAGTAGAGAACACTGAAGAGATAGAACTGCTAGACGGCATAGAGCAAGAAGAAGTAATTTCTCCTTTGCTATGGTGTATATTCTATAATCCGTTAGTGTATAGGATAAACAAAGAGAAGAGCTGGGGCTACACAATTAGTGTAAAAGTACCAACAAACCTGCAGCTTAACCACTGGTCTAAAGAGCACATAACCCAGGCAGCAGTGGCTTTCGCCAATGACACAACATGATAGCATCTTCAAAGAAGAACCTTGAGAAAATTATTAAGGTAGCAGAAGACTTCTTTCAATTATGTGACATACAGATAAATGGGGATAAATCCAAGCTAGTTATTGTGAACCAAAGCAAGACAGAGGACGCAAGTGTC